GGGATTCAAGCGGAGCGCAGTGGCTGCAAGCATGAGCCTGTCCATTCGGTCCCACTGTAGAAAGGCTCAGCCCAACAAAGAATTGAGTACCACATCGATGTACTGTATTGTCTGTGTTGGGATGAGATTACATTTTTCCATGTTAATGATGAGTTCCAGACGATGGAGGGTATCACAGGTGGTCTCTAAAGCTTGCAGTAACTCTCATTTTGTATCAGCCAGTAGCAACTAATAGTCCAAATAAGAATATATTTGGATCCTCTGAAGTCAGAGCTGAGAGCACACCAGAACCATGCATTTGGTGAATACTCTTGGTGCCATGGAGAGACCAAATGGTAGGACACTGAACTCAGGTATTGTCTTGAAACCAAAGGAAGCGGCAATAGTCCAGATGAGTGTTTATGTGAAAGTAAGAATTTTTTAAATCAATGGATGCAAACCAGCCCCCTTTCTTTAAGAGTATCATTATACTCTGGAGGGAAACCATTCAGAACTTTTCGGTCAAAATGAAATGATTCACTTCTCATAGATCCAGAATTAGTAACTCACTGCCATCTTTCTCAGATAAAATATAGTGAATTAAAAACCCATTCTAACTCTGACTTGTGTACTGGATGGATTGCACCCTTTGCTAGTAAGTTGGTAATTTCCTCTGTTAGGATTGGAGAAGGAGGGGTAGTATGAACCATTCCTAGAGGAGGCAGGGTCTCAAATTCAATTCTGTAGCCATAATTTATGATGGAAAGTACCCACTGGTCAGATGTGATTGTTTTTTTGTGATGTGAATGATAGTATAAAGAAAGATTAAACTTTGTGAAAAGATCAAAAGCTGAGGTAAATTGAAGGAAATCACTAGAGATCCCAATCCACTCGCAAATAGCAGTCAAAATCAAACTGAGAAAATGGCAGGAGCCCACTATTTATATAACAGGGAGGGGGTGGGGCTCCTGTGGAAAGTTCTAGGCCTAACCAGAGAAATTTTCCTGAACAGGGCAACACTTGCAGGTGCAACACTTTCACAATGAAGAAAGGCAAACAGGTGGGTCCTAGATCAAATCAAGCTAGAACTTGCCCTGGAAGCAAAAATGACAAAACTGAAGGTGTTATACTTTGGGCACATCATGAGAAGGCGAAACTCACTGGAGAAGACAATCATGCTATGGAAAGTTCAAAGAAGAAGAGGAAGACCAGATATGAAATGGGTTGACTCCATAAAGGAATTCTCAGCCTTGAGTTTGCAAGAGCTGAGCAGGGCTGTTGAGGTTAGGCCATTTTAGAGGGCATTCATGCATATGGTTCCCATAAGTTGGAAATACACATTTTAAAATGGAATTTTTGAAAATATTGTGCCATAACAAATGCTTTGCTATTATAACAAGTAGAGTTACAAGAAATAAAATGCTTAAGATGCTCCTCTCATACAACACTGATTTAAGACAGGGACAATAAGAACACATCACATATGGTATCTGGGTTTATCATTTCTCTCTTCTCTGTAGCATACCAAGATTGATAATCAGTAGTATAGGTAACAAATACATACATTGCAGAATTAAATCTCTTTCTCTCCCTTTTTCCTCCTCTGTGTGTTTGTGTGTGTGCGCGCATGTGTGAGAGAGAAATGACATACAAGGCAATAGCTTTCTTCAAGATTCTGAAACAAAATTGTGAAATATTGACCATGAACAAGCACTGATGGCACTCTATCTTGAATCAAGACATTTTCTGTAAATAAAATGCATTTATATACATATCATATATAAATATATATAAATTATTCACATTCCTAATGGTCACAGGGCACACATAGTTTAACACTTACACAGGCCCATAATGCTATGGGTTGCACTCTCAATGATTTTAAGCCCCAAGATCAGAGCTTTAACTCATCCAATGCAGGGCAAAAGGAGGCAATTTTCATCTTCAGCAAAACAGGCTTTTTGGTCTGTCTGGAAATGGCATTTCATGTGAGGACGGAAGGAAGCTAGAGAAGCCTCAAGATAGTTTGTATCCTTGCTTATCCAGCCTCCTTTTGTTCCCCTCCACTGAAATACCCCTTATCTCCATCTTGGGCCAAGTTCCTGATTTCAGAGGCAAGCTGGTCTAGTTCTCTTCATGGCAGTTGTGATCCTTTTTGCATCATCTGCAAGGAAGAAGGGAGCAAATTTGTTTCCCAGGCCCAAGGTCAGAGTGCTGGGAATGTGAACTATTCTATAGTCTCTTAGACACTATCTACGGTCCATTGAATTGCTTCCTCCATTACCACAAAATAACAAAAATATTACACACAGAAATCTAGTACAATCTGTGTGTAATATTGTACTAGATTACAACTTAGTATAATACAATCTAGTATAAACCAGCTAAAAGATAATATCTGGTTTGCTGTTTTGTTATATTAATATTTGATATGCCAGACCATCAAGGTTCTGAAAATATGAAAACTAAACAGATATAACCCCATCAAAATCTCCACAAAAACAGATGTGAAACAAGGTTTAACAACTATAATGTATACTAACATATGCTCAGCATTGTCTGGGCAATGCATGGCCCATGGTCACATGAATTCCCCACTGCAATACAACATCCATCAAAGCCATTCCTTCCATCACCCTGCTTTTTTTCTTTAACACCGCAGATTGTGACTGGAATTAGGTAGCAAACTGCTGAAGAGGCTTAGGATGGCCTGCTTTATCTTGCAAACAAGTTAAATGGGCACATAAAGTTTATTTTTCATGTTCCTCTGGTATTTTCATGGAAGGGGCAATGTGGCCTGTGACAATCCAGGGCAGTAAATGGTCATTGGACTACCTAAAGTTGCAAATATTTGGTATACAGAAATAATTAGGCATCAAAACAGAAATTCAACTTCAAAATGGTACTGTAGAAGCTTACATTTCACAAAAGTAAATGAGGTGGTGATGAAGTACCACTGCAAGAGACAACTCAAATGCCAATACTGTATGTCATAATCGACAATACAAGCAAACTGAATGTGGAAGAAATGAATGTACATAAAGGGTAGCATGGTTCAGTAGGAATAAGCAAAAAGAAAACGAATATGCAGTTTATCACCTAGTACAGATTTGTTCATATGGAGGAAAAATTATGTCCACTCTATGGAGCCCTGCTGGGTCCCAACACTGAATGTCTTCAGACATTAGGCAAAAGCCTGAGTCTTGGTGGCCTTTCAGTTTGGCTGATTCTATTGTCTTTTTGTACGGGTTATTTTGCTGATTATTACTGGTTTTTGTCTTTGGTGAAACATCTGTATTTATATGCTCTGCTGTTCTCCATTATGAAAAAGAACTTGCAAACAGCAAAGGAATTGCATATGAGCCTTGAGAAATTCAACATATATATCAGTGTACTTAGTTGATCTTCTGTGATCAAATGGCCGAAGACTACAGTTTGAATTTTTTGACTTAGCAGGTCAATCCAAGACTAAGATTTCAGTTGGCTTCAATTTAGCTGATAATATTTTAGCATAATTCTTACCAAAGAATGAGTCATTTAATGGCAGACTGCACTCCAGTTTTTAAGCTTTTAATCCAAGGTCTAGATTCTTCACCCACAAAATCTTTTAACAAGCATATATTTCTACTGTACAAGTTTAAAAAACCAAAGCAAGCTTATCAGAACTATTTGCCCTTTAGAAAGAACAGAACATGAATAATGTTCATTACTGTCATACTGTGTAGAGAAAAACAGAATTTAGTCAGAAGGGGTGGTTTTTTTTTTTTTTTTTTAAGTTTACATGCAGCATTTAAAATGACCATTACACAATCACAGTGCATTGCCTTCCCTTTAAGGAGGACAGCAAGGTTTTCCTGTGAAGATAACAAACACACCATCATTTCCATCATCAGCCTTTTGAGACTGACTAAAAGAACAGTTTAAGAATAGCCTGTCAATTCAGCCTTTGAGTACCAAAATACTAATTTACACAAAATACTACATTAAAATATTATTAAACCAACCAAAGGCAGCATATGCAGACTTGAAAAGAAGTTTTCACACTTGGCTAAACTATCAAATGCAGTTGCTGACATGTAAACCAAATTCCATTTTCTTATCTTTTGGTCCTCATTATTTTCTTTGCCACTTTCACTGATCAAAGACGTTTGTTAAGTTTGTGTTTGCTACCTTCAGTTTTGTCTTTCCTGCTGTGAACTAGCTAGCTGGTACTTTGCAATTACTCTTCAGTGTATGAACTAACACCATAAAGATGGGATTAGATCTTCAATGCTGGATTATGCACACAAAGAAGTGGCAAGGAAGGAAAATGCCATTATCCAAGCACACAGTAAACATCAACAGAAACAATACAAAATAACATTAGCAGAAGTAAATTGTTCTTGTTTAAATATTCTCTTTTCAAGCTGTAGTCAGCAGAACAATCTACCTTTTAGCTAGGATTCCATCCCTAAGGATGTTTCTTTATGTAATACAAACTAGCATTCCTTTTGAGTTGGCTCATCAAAGCAGTTCCCTTTATTTTATCAGATAGTACAGTCATGCAAACATGGGGCAGCAGCATGACTGAGTCATGCACAATTAATCCGTCAAGTCTGCACAGTGTGGAGTCTACAGTCATAAGGTTGTGAGCATATGTGCTTTCTGAAAGTATATGAATCAATTTGTGTTTTTCTAAAGCAGAGGATTCTATTAAATATACTCTTAGTTTGTTTCACCACAAAGCATCCTAGCATATATGTATGCAATCTGATTTTTTCCTATAATTTTTTCTATTCTTTTATTTCTCCATTGCACCTGGCATAACTAATAAACTTGGAAAGTGGTGTACAGCTGTCTGGTTATGCCAAGGGAAACTCCTCCCTAGCTTTGTATAATCACTAAGGTTTCATTTTTATCTGTTGATTTGCTACCTCCAATTTTCCTTCCTCCTAGAGTTTTATTTGATTAGCATTCATTTGTAGAACTTCTATCTCTCCTTTTAAGGGTTTCATGTACATTATAGAGAAAATTAAACTCACTTGCAGGAAACCTTTGTTCTGTCAGCCACCGTAGTCCACTGCTGCTGGTTTGTAGAAACCTCAATGTAATAGCTGTAACTTCTGTCATCACAATCCCAGAGAAGTAATCTGTGTGAGAAAAGAAATAATGCAGTGTTCGACAGAAAACAATGTATTTTTTTCTACAGCCTTTTTAAACTTTGTAAATTTCTTATCCAAGTTAACACTTCATTACAGAATGTCTCTCTGATAATCAGGAGTTTTTGTTTGAAATTTATATCTTAACCTTTGTGAAGATCTTGTTGCCATTTTAGCTCAAAAGGGGAGCAGACATAAAATATACGAATGTTTACTTGCTTAAAATTCTTCTTTAAAAACTATTCCTAACTATTTCTAGATTTGAAGCTACAAGGAAGAACAGAATCCTAGATATACTGGCATGCCCTTCAAATATTTTAATGTACTTCTGATAATTTTGCTTTCTAAAGTTACCCCAGCTTAAATTTTATAAGCACTCTATAGTGTTATGAAAATTAGAGAAATTCTTTGAGATTCAATCAATTACTTCTTAATTTATCTTAATTTATGTAAAAAAAAATCAATCCATGTAGGAAGCTAGTACAATTGGCAAGTGTGAATGTAATTGCACCGCCAAACTGAAGGTCAGTCTATGATTCAAGGATCAACACAGAATATAGAAGTGAAGGGTAGAGAAGAAAACAAAACCATCATTATTCAGTGGCAGAATATCTCACTACTTAAATACATCCTTAAAAAAAAAGGTCTAGAATCCCAAAAGGAAATTAATTACCAGATGTTTAATTAAGCAGAAACTGTACTGAAGAGTAAAATAGGTTTATTCTATATATGCTTCAGTGTGGTTTAAAGAGGTAGCAATTTTAATCCAAAAATGATTTTAGTCTGTAATTCAACAGGCTATCACTGATCCCAATGATTGGGTTATGATTGTGGCTGGAAAATACAATAAGAAAGTTATTGTTTTGATTAACATGTAGGAGCCCATCAATGTTTCTCCAGTTATGTTCCATGCATGTTTCAGCAAAATGGTTGTTACTGCATATGCTTATTCTGGGCAGATGGGGTAGGGTAAATTTTAATGAGACCTTAGATCTTCTCCTGCATAGGAATACACTGACTCTTAATGGTACAAAATACAGTTTGGGACTGTATAGCTGAATTCAGCCTGGTTGAATCCTGGAGATAGATACATCTGGATGAGAGAGTATACATTTCTTCATCTTCATAACTGATTTTGGTTAGATTATTTTTTGGTATCCACATCCCTCCTATGTCAAATTTGTTGTTGTTGTTGTTAGTCGTGAAGTCATGTCCGACCTATCGCGTCCCCATGGACAACATTCCTCCAGGCCTTCCTGTCCTCCACCATCCCCCAGAGTCCACCTAAGCTCACACCAACTGCTTCAGTGACTCCATCTAGCCACCTCATTCTCTGCCATCCCCTTCTTCTTTTGCCATCTATTGTTCCCAGCATTAGGCTCTTCTCCAGGTAGTCCTTTCTTCTCATTAGGTGGCCAAAGTATTTGAGTTTCATTTTCAGTATCTGGCCTTCTAAAGAGTAGTCATGGTTGATCTCCTCTAGGATTGCCTGGTTTGATCACCTTGTAATCCAAGGGACTCTCAGGAGTCTTCTCCAGCACCACAATTCATCAGGTGGCCAAAGTATTAGAGTTTCATCTTCAGTATCTGGCCTTCTAAAGAGCTGTCAGGGTTGATCTCCTCTAGGACTGACCGGTTTGATCGCCTTGCGGTCCAAGGGACTCGCAGGAGTCTCCTCTAGCACCACAATTCAAAGGCCTCAGTTCTTTGGCGCTCAGCCTTCCTTATGGTCCAATTCTCACAGCCATACATTGCAACTGGGAAAACCATAGCCTTGACTATACGCACCTTTGTTGGCAGGGTGATGTCTCCGCTTTTTAGTATGCTGTCTAGATTTGCCATAGCTTTCCTCCCAAGGAGCAAGCGTCTTTTAATTTCTTGGCTGCAGTCCCCATCTGCCGTGATCTTGGAGCCCAGGAAAATAAAATCTGTCACTACCTTCATTTTCCCCCATCTATTTGCCAGGAAGTGAGAGGACCGGATGCCATGATCTTAGTTTTCTTAATGTTGAGTTTCAAGCCAACTTTTGTGCTCTCCTCCTTCACTCGCATCAAGAGGCTCTTTAGTTCCTCTTCACTTTCTGCCATTAGAGTAGTATCATCTGCATATCTGAGGTTGTTGATATTTCTCCCAGCAATCTTAATTCCAACTGGTGATTCATCTAGGCCCGCCTTTCTCATGATGTGCTCTGTATATAAGTTAAATAGGCAGGGCGACAGTATACAGCCTTGCCGAACTCCTTTCTCAATTTTGAAACAATCAGTGGTTCCGTGTCCAGTTCTCACTGTTGCTTCTTGACCCGCATATAGGTTTCTCAAGAGACAAATAAGATGGTCTGGTACTCCCATCTCTTTAAGAACTTGCCACAATTTGTTGTGATCCACACAGTCAAAGGCTTTAGCATAGTCAATGAAGCAGAAGTAGATGTTTTTCTGGAACTCCCT